GGTTCTAGGGCAGGCCATTCATTCACAAGTACCAAAGGAAGCTGCCACTGTCACTCAGGCCCTCGTGGGGCAGTGCTACCCAATCAGAACCTCCAGGCCAGCCACTTGCTCTGGAGCGCTTTAAAGGAACTGCTTCATCATTCAGGCCATGCTAGCCAATTGGAGCAGCGGAGTCGGGTCATGCCTGCTGTGGCGTCTAGGGAACTCCTGTCAATCAGACTTGTGGTGCAGCTCTAGCCAATCAGGGCTTCGGGGCAAGGTGTCCAATCAAGAGCAACAGCCCGAGGCGAGAGGTGGGGTCTCTTCCGCCGCCATGTTGCGGGTTCCTGTCCGTGTTTGAAGCAGGCATCGCGTAGTCCCGAGTGCTGTGCTGTGACCGCCGCGGGGCCTCGGCAGCCGCGCCGTGGTGAGCGTGGGGCCGCTGTCTCTCGACCGGAAGGGGCGGCCGAGCCGCGGAGCCGGCGTGGCGGGGGGGTGGGGTGGCGGCGGACTGGGTCCCCTGAGGCCCACCACCGGCCAGGCCCTGCCTCGGAGGACTTGGTCACTTCCGCCTTTCCGGCCATGTCTGCGCGGGGAGCGGAAGGCTCAGCCCTGTGCGGGGGCGGCTTCCGGGTTGGTGACGTCACCGCCCGGCGCTAGCGCCCTGTTTGTGCTTTTGGTGTCGCACTTAGGGCTGTCTGTGTTCTCTGCGCTATGGTCTAGCCAGTCTGCGCTTTGCATTTCACATACAGGTCTAGGATCAAGTCTGAGTTAATTTTGAGGAATCTGTTAAGTCTTTGAGATGCTGTTTCAGAAACAGTTTTAGAAAAGATTGTGCTCATTGGATTTCCTTTGCTAATTTACCAAAGGTCAGTTTGTCTCCTTATTTTTAAATTTTATTTGTGGATATGTTTATTCTTCCTAAACAATGAGTATCCTGTGCATTTGACTGAAAATTTAACAGTGTGTGCTATGGGTTCGTCTGTTTTGTGCTAACCGTTTTGGTTCTTTTTTTTTTTTTTTTAAAGCATTTTCCTATACTCTTTAGTAATCTATTTTATGTTACTGATAAATATTTAGCATTTTTATGGGACTTAGGTTAATCTATAATTGAAACTGGAACCTACACTTTGGGATTGTGGCTTCCTGTCGTGAGCATGTTGTGCCACAAACAGACAAACGTTGTGTCTTTCCACAATGTCACAATTGATTGAATAGAAATTTAAAAGGATCTGGCTGAGACTAAAGCAGGTTCTTTATTTTCCCCTCAAATCATAATTACTAATATTAAGATTGTGTCACAGTAAATATATAGTTATGTGCACATAGGCTGTTTACAGAATCACTTTACGTTAAGGAGGCTGCAGCACAATTCAGAGTCCCAGAAGATGGCTAAGAAAAATGCAAGCAGTGTTTCAGTTGCTAAGTTAGAGTCCAGGAACCGTGAGCCACAGGGATGGAGCTTTGAATGAAGCCTGGGGCAGTCAGGCAGTGTAGGTGTAGTGGTGAGAGATGAAAGCCACACTGGGGTCTGAGATGAGGTGCTGTCCGGGTAGACAGACAGGGACCTGCTTGAGCTGGAGCTGCAGGGAGAGTCACGAGTCCCTGACTGTCGGGTATCAGATGATAGGTTGGTTTTGGGCCCTGCCATCCTACTGCTAGATGCCCACTGCTTTATGAGGCCAGGCAAGGGAGTTGCATCCTTGTCTAAAACATTTTAAAGATATATGTCTGTCTGTCTGTCTGCCTGTCGTCTTGTTTGGGTTTTTGTAGCCTTACGTGACCTGAGACTAGCTATCTGACTATCATCTTGTCATGGTCTGTGTAGTCCTAGGTGACCTGGAGCTTTCTCTGTAGACCAGGCTGGCCTTGACTCAGATTCTATCGCTCAAGTATTGGCATAAAAGAGGTATATCATCATGCCTAGCCTCCTGATAGGATCTTTTTGTTTGTTTGTTTTTTATTTTGATAGGGTCTCACTGGTCCTGGCCATCTTGGAGCTTTCAGTGTAGACCAGGCTGGTGTCAAACTTTCAGAACTCCACCTGCCTCCGCCTCCCAAGTGCTGGGATCAGAGGCGTGCACCACTGCACCTGGCTAATAGGATTTTAATACACCCACCTGCCCTGGAGTCTGAGCTTACCGATCAGTTTTTAAAGTGCCTCTTTCTACTCCCAGGAATAAGTTGTTTACTGTCTGTACTGCATGGGTGATATTTGTGGATCTACCCAGGGGCTTTTTTAGTCATTCTCGTCCCTCAAAATGGAGTCAGAGGCAGCTTGTAAAATGGGGTCCTGGGTCAGGACAACCCGAAAACCTACTGTTTTCCAGTGTGGAGTAGTGTAGAGCAAGGCGCAGCCTGTCTTAACACTCTGTCTGCAAGTCTGCACTAGCCCTCCCTTTCTTAAGTTGATCGTTTTATTATAAGTTGTAGTTAATATCTGTAGTTCTCCGTTACATTTGTTTATGTATTTCTGTCTCTTTCTCTTTGCTGGTATATAAACAGTATATATTTTCACATCCTGTTGTTTATTGCTGATATATAGGAAAATGGAATTTTGTATACTAATCCTGTGTCCTAAACCTTTGCTGTAGCATCTGATTAATCCGTTTTTGGGGTTTTCTGTGGGTAATGATACTGTCCTGAATCTCGTTTTCTGACTTTTCTTGATACACGATTTTGTTTTGTTGTTTGTGTTTCCCCAGGTGTTGGTATGGTCATGTAATTTTTCTCACTTGTGAATATGGTGGATCACACTGATGGTTAATTCTTCCTCTTTGAGTATGGGAATTGGCACGTGAGATGAGTGAGATTCACTCACACAGTCTTGAGGTTTCCATTGACCCTATAGACCTGCCTTAGCTTCCACTTACTGTGGTAGAGTAGTTTGTGGTTTGTTTTTTTATTTTTACATTTTTTTTGAAAGTTTTATTTTTTTTACTTTGAGTGTATGGGTGCTTTGTGTGCCTGTGTACCATGTGTGAGCCAGGTGTCCCAAGGAGGCCAGAACAGGGCATTGGAGCCAACTGGAGTTCTTGATGATTGTGATCCACCATAGAGGTGCTAGAAATTGAACCTGGGTCCTTTGAAGGAGCAGCCAGTGTTCTTAACTGAGCCATCTCTGCAGCACCACACCTTTATAATTTAAAAAATTATGAATTAGGGGAAGAGGGAGGAAGGGTCGGACTGGGAGGAGATAAGGGAAGGGACTACAGCTGGGATACAATGTGAATAAATTGTAATAAATAATAATAAGAAAAAATTAAAAATAACAAATTAATTTTTAACTTATTTCATATGTATGATTTTACTTTTTTAATTTTTTTGGCTTTTCCAGATAGGGTTTCTCTGTGTAGTCCATCCTGTAGACCAGGCTGGCCTTGAACTCACAGAAGTCCTCTTGGCTGTGCCTCCTGAGTGCTGGGACTAAAGGTGTGCAGTACCACCCCTCTGGCTGTGTAAATGTTTTGCTTGCACATATCTGTGTACTACTTGTGTGCAGAGGCTAGCAGAGGCTAGCAGAGGGCCTCAGGTCTCCTGAAATTGTAGTTAGAGGTGTTTGTGAGCTGCCATGTGTTTGCTGAGAATTGGATCCAGGTTCCCTGAAAGAGCTGCTGTGTTCTTAACCACTGAACCACACCACCTCTTCAGCCTCACTTTTTTTTTTTATTTTTTATTATTTTTTTATTAATTAGCTTGTGTTTTTTGAGATAGGACTTGTGTAGGCAAGAACAACTTTGAACTCCTGATTCTCCTGCCTCTGTTTTCAGGTGCTGGAATAGCAGGCATGCACCATGACACCTAGCTGAAGTTCTTTTCTTCTGTAACAATTTCATACGTATAAAGGATGTTCTGATTATTGTAGTGCCCCGCCTCTAGTTTTCCCCTCATCCATTTGTGCCCTCCTCCTCACAGTGCCCTTTGAAATATCCCTGGCACCTGCCCCCCACCCCCATCGTCTCCTTTTTTGTTTTGAGACCCACTGTATTTGAACCATGGGCTTCAACTTAACCATTTGGGCACCTCAGTGGGTAGACAATTGACAACAATGGCTTTCTTCCCCAGAATCCCTTCGTAATCGCTGACTCATGATTGGCTGTCGAGGGGCTTAATCTGGTGTCAGGTCTATTGCAGAAACCTGTAGCTGTTGTCAAGTCAGAAACTTTAGCCCTGCGATGCCTAGAGGCCAGTGTTTTACAGTCCATCCTGCTGTCTTCTGGGCCTTAGATACTCTTTGTGCCTCACTCATCCACAGTGATCTCCGAGCCATAGAAATGGTGGTGTAATGGTCCTGTTTAGGACCGGGCACTCCGGGTCAGCTTCCTCTCAACACTGTCCAACTCCACGTTTGCTGCAGAGAGGCTTCTCTGATTCCGAGTGGGAGTAGCGTTTGTCTGTGGGTAACTGGCTGCCAGGACAATGTAGCTAACCAGAAGTGCCAAGTTCATCCCTTCAGCCACAGACATGAGTGTTTAGCTTGGTTTCCTATGCTGGGCATGGGTTGTCTTACGGAGTGAGCCTGAAATCCAATCAGAGAGCAGCCTGGTTGTCCTCCGGACAGTTACCTCACTCTTGCACAGGTGGACATGCCTTGTGTGGAAGGTTGGTGCTGTATGTCATAGAGGTCGCAGCTGGGTAAGACTGTGTCTGCTCTTTCCCCAGCAGTCCGCGTATCACTTTTGAGCACTGTGGACGCCAGCTCTCAGCTTGAAGCCAGTCTGGTTTCTTTCTGCGTTGCAACCAGTGTGTACGGTGTCTTCAGCAATAACAGCCAGCTCTGGTGGGCAATCGAGAAGAGCACAAGAGCCTATGTGCTTTGGGGGACCCCCTGACCAGTAGCTAATAAGGGGGTAGCTCACTCCTGCACTGGTTATGATTTAGTAAGCACTGGCTTTCAGAAGCATTGTTTATGTGGGCTGTCTCCCTTTTAACTTGTTTTTATTGTCTTAACTTACACATGACAGTTCTGGTTAGAACATAATTTGGTTTTGAATGTTGTAAGGAGTGTGTTGAATTTTTTGTTTTGTTTTTTATTTTCATTAGAAATGTTTGGTTCTTGTCTAAAGGCTTTTCTTATGTATACTTTTTAATGTGAGGTACTGTATACATGATGTAAAATTGGTATTTGTATATCCAGTTCACTGCTGTTGTAGGAAAATGATAGTCTTTTGTATATTGATGTATTACAAAAGTTTTCAGTAGTCCTTTTTTAGTTCCTCATTTTTTGTGGATTTTCTGTATGGAATTTTTTTCTTCCACAATCTCAGTATCTCTGCATTTCCCCTTTTATTGCCATATCCTTGCCCTCACTTATTGTTATTATCATAGGACTTTTTGGTATCTAACTTATTGATTTGTTATGTTATATTGATTTCAAAGTTTTTCTTCTGCACTTCTAGAGTTTGACTCAAGGCTTGAGAACACAGATAGTAAAAAGATAAAGCTAGAGCCTAGTCATTGGCCTTCAGAGAGGCTCTTAGAAAGATTCATATTCCCTGTGATGCAGGTAAAGGATTGGTGGAAAAGCTGAGGACAATAAAAACAGAGCTGGCCACTTTGAACATCAGATTGGAAACTTTCACCATATATGGCTTCAGTGAGCTTGGGCCTCAGAGTGCCCTTCTCAGTCGTGTGTGTGTGTGTGTGTGTGAATTTGGCTGGTAGTGTGATAGGGGAGGATGGCCAAGGTCAGTGTGGAAACCAGTAGTTAGAGAAAGTGCAGTTGCTGATGGTGGAGCCTGAGACACATGTAGTCAGAGGTTAGACTAGTGTGAGAGGAGCCTGTGGGCGGAGACAGACAGACCTGGGAGTTGGGAAGGAACCAGTGCTCAGTGGGAGTACAGGTCCTGAACATGGCTGCTTGCTCATGTGACGGTTGGTTGTGATCTTCCCTGTTGACTTGATTTGCTCAGCAATCAACTGAGAGGCCTGTCTCTGCAGGTCTACCAGGAAATTTCAGGCAAGTTTCACTGAGGCAAGAAGAGCGTATCCTAGAGTGGGTGGCCCTTTGAGTGGTGGCCTCAGTACAGAGAAGGCCACAGAAGAAGCAGTGTTGCTTCCCTGCCTGCCTTCACTTCCTGCAAGTGAGTGCGTCTGTCCTGTTGATGCTGCCGCTGCCACCATCCTTCACTGACGTTGAAGCCAGCTTTGGTCTTCCATTGTGGACTGAAGACCACTGAAGAAGCGGTCCAGGTGTCTTTCAGGCCTTTGGCACCAGATTGAAGCTCCTGAAGCTTCCAGCCTTTGTGGACGGAGCCTCTCCACCATGGAGACGTCCATTGTTGGACTATCCAGGCCGGATCAGGTCAGCCAATCTAATCTGTACAAGTTGTGGTAGTTATTAATTCTCCCAGTTCTGTTCTGCTAGAGAACCCTGATTTGTTCAGTGGCCACCTATGTCCTCTTCTTTTTCTTACAAGCTCACCTGAAAGACTATTTTAAAAATAATTTTCTTATTTCATAGTCTGTACATATGAATCATGTAAGAAAACTGCTTTTCCATATTCTTAATCATTGAAGTCCTAAAATAAAGATTTCAAACAGTGCTTAGTACCAGTGAGTAGTGCTGTCAGAATTCGGGGAGGCTGCCACAGTCTCTAGTCGCTAGATGTTTCAGGGAAAATTGGGCCTTTTTTTTGTAGTTGTGAATCCCACTGGGTAAGTTTAAGACCAATAACACCATTTTGAGTCAAATTTGAAGTAAGCTTTATTAAGTACTGGCTAGGATGGTGGACACTGGCCAGGTCCACACCGGGGATTCCCAGAGAGTGGCGTTGAATTATGTTAGAAAGGGGCACCTGGGGGCAAGCGCACGTGCTGATGTACTTCCTGCCCACATTCTTCCTACCTGCATACCCTCTGCCCATATGTGATGGAGCACATCCTGTGCAGTTCAGGCAGCCAACTGTTTATAGAAGTGAAAGCACATGGCTTGTCGTCTCACCTGAAAAACAGCCCCAGCATTCCCGAAAGTTACCTGTCCTTGGCAAGTGGGGCTTGCAGGATAGAGGCATTTTTGTTCTCTTAAGCACAGTAATTTAAACTTAAAACATAACTTTAGCCCTCACAGGGTTTTTAGTCATATTAATAGGAGAATTTAAGAATGAACCCAAAGGAAAGCCTGAGGAAATGTTAATTAGAGTGTAAAGAAAAAACCCCAGGGCATGCAGGCTTAAATCTTGACATCTGCCTCAAGCAAAGTGATGAAGAGGAAGACAAAAACCCATGCCATTTGAGTTAAGCCAGCAAAAATGTTAGCCACAGGGCAGACATGCATCCACAGGCAGGGAAGGAGCCATCAGAGAAAATGGAAACAGTCCAAAGTACCAGAAAAAGCATTCTTTTAGGCTCTGGCCTGCATCTCAAAGAAAAGGATCAAAGAGTTCAAGTAATAGTATAAATTTTATTTTAGTATTCAGAAAGCAGACCAGACCCAGGAGAAGTTGCTCTGGCAGTTGCTCTGTAGCATAGAGAGAAGACGTCTCCTCTTTTTTTTATTGCTGTGAAGAGAGAACACAAACAAGGCAACTCTTATAAAGGAAAACATTTGATTGGGGCTGGCTTACAGTTTTAAAGGTTTCGTCCATTATTGTCATGGCAGGAGGAATGGTGGCAGGCAGACACGGTGCTGGAGAAGAAGCCGAGAGTTCTACATCTGGTTACACTGGGTGTTGCTTGAGCACAGAAGACCTTAAACCCCGCCCCCACAGTGACACAATTCCTCCAACGTGGCCACACCTACTCCAAGGCCACACCTCATAATAGTGCTACTTCCTGGGGACCAAGTGTTCTAATACATGAGTCTGTGGGGCCATTCCTAGTCAATCCACCACAGCTTCTGAGAGGGAAACAAGTATTATCTCGTTAAAGGAATAATTATTTCTCCCATCCCTTTGGTTTAGCTTAAAGCTAGCCTGCCTTCCATAAGCTTAGTTCCTTGGCAGGTGATTGACCAAATCAACTGTATTAAATCCTGAGGGAAGGCACAATGGTATGTTTCTCTACTCAGAGTTAGATTTTATTTGACTGGAAGGAACCAGCTTTTCCTTAATGGTGCTTCACTGCTACTGTGATGCCTCTTCTTGTGGAACATTAAGGAACCAGAGCAAAGATCAGAGCCCTCAAATATTTCTGGCCACCATGCCAACACAGAACCAAGGGCGTTTTCAGCTTATGCCCAAGGACACAAGTCAAGGCCCCCATCTCTAAATTGATTATACCATTTATTTGTCTCCTGTTACCCTCATTCCTCTTACTGAAAAGGTAGCCCTAACTACCTTTGGGGAATTGGGACAGCAGTCTTCCTGCCTTTTTGAGGTTGCCCAGTATAGCAGTTGGTGTGTCCCTTCTGGGACCTGCCTAGGGAACCTGGGTTAATGGTTACGTTTGTATGGCAACCAGTTGTGCCGAGGAAAAGGAGTTCTTTGCTGTAACGTTGAAAAAGAAATGAGGGAGGAGTAAGAATGGAACCCAGTAAAAGTGATATTGGAATTATTTGAGCCGAGGATAAGATTCCATCCCACCAGGAGCAGTCATGATTTTTATACAAAAGCTTAATGTTGAAAGACCTAGGCAGAGAAGCCAGCACACTGTCCACATTCAGTCTTGGGAGGGTGTGTCTGATCTCGTAGGCGCTTCTGGGTTTAGTATTGATTAATAGACTATCAGAAGGAAAATAGGAGTGTTCAAATTGCCATGTTTGTATAACTCATTCCTGCTGAGTCCTACCCTTACTGTTTATGTTCATGTGCTGTCTCTTAGTTAGGGTATTGTTTTCTCAGGGCAGCAGAAGCTAAATTCTGAGCATGAATTTCCAGGGACACACAGCCTCCTGAGCCCCAGTGTTAATGCTGTTGACTCAGATGATAGGGTGTTCCTGGGACAAGAAGTGCAGATCACTGGAGAAAGGGAACGGTGTGGAGAAGCACCTCCCCAGGTGCAGTAGTGAGAAGAGTGGTCTGTCTGTCTGTCTGTCTGTCTTGTTTCTGAACATCAGTCACTTTTACCGAACTTGTGTGTATGGAATGGAAGTGTGGAAACCACAGAATTATGTGGCCATACTGTCAGATGTGCACAGATGTGTCATTCTCACCCACTCTCTCACATCCTAATATGGAATGTTTTAGGGTTTGGTGAGCTTTGAGGATCTGGCTGTGCACTTCACCCAGGAAGAGTGGGATTTGCTGGATCCTTCTCAGAAGAGTCTCTATGGAGATGTGATGCTGGAAACCTTCAGGAACTTGACTGCCATTGGTGAGAATAACCTCTTACCCTCACTCTGTAAACTAGAGATCAAATATTTCTGGTTATTGATGGTTGCTGCGATTTGGATGCGGAAAGGGAGGAATTGTGATGAAGAAACTAGGTGTTGGGCTGGAGAGATGGTTCAGAGGTTAAGAGCACTGGCTGTTCTTCCAGAGGTGCTAGTTCAATTCCCAGCAACTACATTGTGGCTCACAACCATTCTGGTGTGCAGGCAGAATATTGTGTACATAATAAATAAATAATTACAATGCACATACTAATAATTCATCACATATTTTCTGGAACTGTGTTTCAGGATATGAATGGGAAGACCAGACAATTGAAGACAGTGATGAAGATCCTGAAATAAATCTAAGGTAATTTGCATGTATAAGTGGTAGCAAATGCCCCTTGAAAAAAAATTTAATGTGCCATAAAAATTTAAGAACAAAACAAAGAAGCCCAACTTTAAATTTATCAGTAGAAAATTTTTTTCATTAATTAATTTATCTAATGACTTTATAGCCTGATCACAGCCCCCTCCCTTCTGTCCTTCCAGTTCCATCCTCATATCTGTCTCTCCCCATTCCCTCCATTCTTTCTTCTTAGAGAAGGGGAAGCCCCTCCATAGGTACCAACCCACCCTGGCACATCAAGTCAAAGTAGACCCAGTGGGGCCAGACAGAGCAGCTCAGCTATGAGAGAGGGATCTAAAGGCAGGCAACAGAGTTAGAGAAAACCCCGGTTCCAGTTGTTAGGGAACCCACATGAAGAACAAGCTGCACATTTGCTAGATATGTATAGGGCATTGAGGTCCAGCCCATGCCTCCTCTTTGGTTGGTGGTTCAGTGTCTGTGAACCACCATGGGCCCAGGTTAGTTTACTCTGTAGGTCTTCTTGTGGCGTCCTTGACCCCTTCACCTCACTCTTCCACAAAACTCTCTGAGGTTGGCCTGTTGTTTGGCTGTGGGTCTCTACATCTGTTTCCATCAGCTGCTGGATGAAGCCTCTCAGATGACAGTTAGCCAGGCTCCTGTCTGCAAGCACAGCAGAGCATCATTAATAGTGTTGGGGGCTGGCTGTCTCCCATGGGCTGGGTCTCAGGTTGGGCCAGACGTTAGTTTGTTATTCCCTCAGTCTTTATCCCTACGGTTCTTGTAAGCAGGACAGATTTTGGGCCTAAGGTTTTATGGGTGGATTGGTGTCCCCTCCTCCATTGGAAGTCCTGTCTGGCTATGGGAGGTGGCGACTTGAGGTTCTGTATCCCCTGCTGCTAGGAGTCTCAGTTAAGATCACCTTTACAGACCCCTGGGAACTTCCCTTAGCTTGGAGATGGACTCCCCAGGGATTTCTGTTCTCTCCCTCTCAGTCTTCCTTCTATCCCCCTGCTCTCCCTACACCTGATCCTCCCACGCCTCCTCTCTACCCCATCTCTCACCCACTTCCCTCCCTCCATCTATTTCAGATGACTGTTTCCCATTCTGAGTAAGATTCAAACATCCTCCCTTGGGCCCTCCTTATTATTTAGCTTCTTTGGTTTGTAGATTGTAATGTGGTTATCTTGTGCTTTATAGCCACTTAAAAGTGAGTACATACCATGAGTGTCTTTCTGGGTCTGGGTTACCTCACTCAGGATGATATTTTCCAGTTCTATCCATTTGCCTGCAAATTTCATGGTGTCCTTGTTTTTATTAGCTGAGTAGTATTCCATTGTGTTAATGTTCCACAGTTTCTTTTCCCATTCTTCAATTGAGGGACATACAGATTGTTTCCAGTTTCTATCTATTACAAATAAAGCTTTGAGCAAGTGTCTTTGGTATGGCGGAGTATCTTTTGGGTATATGCCCAGGATTAGTATATCTGGGTCTTGAAATAGAACTATTCCCAATTTCCTAAGAAACTGTCAGATTCAGTAAAAAAAATTTTATCCCAAATGTATACCTTCTTGTAAGGTTCAGATTGTGCATAGTCTTTTGGAACCAGTTCTGGGACCCTGCATTAAGAAATGCTACTATTTTGATCATAGACCTATGGGAACCATATTATAGGTCCATTTTTCTTCAGACCTTTCCTGTGAAGGCACACATTTTGCTTGTTTTGGAGAGCAGGCTGTCCAAGATGTTCTAATAAGCAAACAGTGTTAAAACAACTGTCACTAATATGCTTGTCATTTCTCACAGTAGTTACGGATACTGAAGAAGGTTGTCAGGGTGGGGCAGTCTGATCCCTATACCATTCTCAATGTGAGCAGCATTGTGGGGGGAGAAATTCCATTTGTCTTTCCTCTTTTAATAGGCACATCATATCTCACCCTGAGTACACACAGCATGAACACGAGGAGCATGAGCAGAAGCCACAGGACTCTAATTTTGTCCCAAGTGTTGAAGGATGCGTGGAAACTCAGACTTCAAGTGGACCTTCTGTGTGTGAGGTATGTTTAAAGACCTTTGGACTGTATCACCTAACTTACAATGGACATCACAACTATGACTACAAGGATGTTGGAGGAAGCCAGACTGAGGAAAATGATTATGAAGGTGACCAGTGTGATAAAACTTCCCTTCAAAAACAAGAGAAAATTCATGCTGGCAAAAAGCTCTATGAGTGTCAAGAATGTGGCAAAGCTTTTAGGTATCCCAGTGCCCTTCAGCTACATGAAAGAATTCACACTGGAGAGAAGCCCTACGAGTGTAAAGACTGCGGGAAAGCCTTCCGAGGGCTCAGCGCCCTCCACTTACATGAGCGAATTCACACTGGAGAGAAGCCTTATGAGTGTAAACAGTGTGGCAGGGCCTTCACCTATCTCAGCGCCCTTCAGCTACATGAAAGAATTCATACGGAGGAAAGGCCCTGTGAATGTAAGCAGTGTGGGAAAACCTTCAGATACAGCAGGGCCCTCAAATTACATGAAAGAATTCATACTGGAGAGAAGCCCTACGAATGTAAACAATGTGGTAAATTCTTTAGAAGTCACAGGACCCTTAAGTTACATAAAAGAATTCATACTGGAGAAAAACCCTATGAGTGTAAGGAATGTGGGAAAGCCTTCCGGTGGCTTACTTCTCGGAAGCTACATGAAAAGATTCATACTGGAGAAAAACCCTATAAATGCCAAGAGTGTGGGAAAGCCTTCAGGTGTCAGGCTTCCTATCACAGACATAAAATAACTCATGGCGGAGAGACCTTGTATGAATGTAAAGAGTGTGGGAAGTCCTTCATTTATCCCTCTTTACTTCAAGTGCATGAAAGAACTCACACTGGTGAAAAGCCCTTTGAGTGTAAGCTGTGTGGGAAAGCCTTCAGATGTCAGTCCTCGCTCCGATTGCACGAAAGAACACACACCGGGGAAAAGCCCTATGAATGTAAACACTGTGGCAAAGCCTTTTCAAGTTACAATTATCTTCGATTTCATGAAAGAAGCCACACTGGAGAGAAACCCTATGAATGTAAAGAGTGTGGTAAAACCTTCACACATCGCTCTTACCTTCGGTCACATGAAAGAAGACACACTGGGGAGAAACCGTATCAGTGTGTTCAGTGCGGCAGGTCCTTCAGCCGGCACAGTTCCTTTAAGAGACACCAGTCCGTGCATGGAGCCGAAAGCCCGTATGAATGCCAGCAGTATCTAATTCCTTTATCCCCATTTTCTTCAAAGGAATGAAAGAACAGATAATGTCAACAAGCCCTTTGAATGTAAATGATGTTGCAAAATATCCCCATTCACATGCAACACATGCAAGGACTCGAGATGAGGATGGACCTTTTATATGTAAACTGTGCAGCGTACCCTTCAGAGACACAGTGTCCTTCAAAGCCTTGAAGGAGTTCTTGCTGGGCAAAGTTAGTTTGTTACCGCTGTGGTAAATGTCACTTTTCACACTTCCTTTAAGAGAAGTAAGTTAATTCATGCTGGGCAAATGCCCTAGGAATGTACTAGATAGAGATGCTCTTTCATTTATCCCCATTTGCCTTAAAATCATGAAAAACAATCACATGAATATAAACAATATGGGAAAGCCTTCAGGTGTCGAAGGTTCTTTCACTAACATGAATGAAATCTCGTGCTGGAGGGAAAATGTGAATGTAAGGTGTGTTAAAGCCCTTAGATATCATTGCTCCCTTAGATTCCATGAATGAACTCCTATTGGAAACAATTTTCCAAATGTAAGCAAAGCTCTGAAGCCTTCAAGGTCATAGTTCTTTGAGACACACGGTGGTGGCTGCTGTGCTGCTCCGTAACTGTAAAGAGTGCAGGAACTTAGTGGTTGCTGGGAGATGGACACTTCCTTTCCAGTGGCTGCTCATGACTGGCCTGTGCTCTTGTAAATACCCCAATTAAACTAATTCCTCAAGCTACACAAGAGTAAAGTCATTCTTTGTCTCTGTCATTGTTGCCCTGTCTGGGGCAAACAGACTTTCAGAATGTCTTCAGGCGAAGTTCACAGTGTAGGGACTCTTAAAGTTGAGCTGTGTTTCCACAGTGTGAAACACCGTGAAGGAGGAGAGGCCTCGGCTAAGACGCAGTTTTAGGTGGGACAGTTTGCTTCACTGTCAGCCTCATACAATCTGGAATTGGGAAAGGAGGCTCAGTGCTCAGTTATATGGGTAGGTTCACCATGGCACAGCTGTGAGGGGTCTTCCTCCTTGGGTTAATCGAGGTGGGAAGGCCCCCCCTGAAAGCCGTCAGCACTGTTTTATGGACGGAACGAAAAGGAGGTGCTGAGGACAGAGGTCCGTTGCTCTCCGCCTTGGGGCCATGTCCACAGTGTGACCTGCTGTGTCACGCTCCTCCACCGAGGCTGGCCCACAGCAATGCATTGTAACCTGAAACTGTGAGCTGCGATAAACACCTTCTTCCATCAACTGCTTTTGTCACGGTGTTTTATCACAGCCACAGGAGTGAGGCTAAGACTGTCTGGGCTGCACACAGTAGAACCAGAAATGAGTTTGTTAGGAGCCCTTGCCTTGCCTCTGCTGTGAGTGCCACCGAAGAGCTCCTCTCTGAGGGCGCAGCATCCGTGGCAGGTGAGCCCAGGGTGCCTCTTCCTGAGTGCCGTGGTCGGCATGCATTCCTGCTGCGCTGCCAGCTTCACCGTCCCTGTCTGTGAAAGGTGAGAACACTGTCCAAAGGGCTGAAAGGGAGAATCTTGCAGTCCATGGAAGTCGCATGTACAGGACACACGGCCATCAGACGCTCCTTGTAGGCAATGAGACATGTCACTGAGGCGGAGGTGTTGGCTAGCAGGAGCTTACCCACACATGCAGCAGTTACGTAGAGCAGGAAGAGACATGCAGATTTTCTCTTGTGTTAGATTCCAGTTGGCAGGAAAGGTACAGAGAAAAGGAGGTGGAAGAGATGGTTTCCATAAGGACAAGCAATTACAGATGAAATCTGTTCACCAAAACAACAAGCCCTTCCCAAGATGCCAACCCTGGAACCCATGGGAAGGATTAACAAGGAGGAAGCGAGATCACAGTGAGAGAAGTCACCCCTGTGTCTGACCTTGACAGGAATGAAAAGCCCGTAACAGAGTGCAGAGAGTCTTGGAGCTAGGGAGCCGTGGGGCTGCAGAGACGAGTGTGTCTGAGCTAGTGTGTCAGGCCCCTTCCCTGTCAAGCCTGGTGAGGAGGCGCTCTCAGGCCTGTGGCAGCATGCTGCGTGAAAACAGAGTGATCAACGGCGCAGGGCTAACTAAGGAAGTACTTGGTATCTATGACGTGGTACCAGCTTTTTTTTTCTTTTCTTTTTTTTTTTTTTTTTTTGAGGTAGCCTGTCATGTTACTGACTTGGCTGGTCCTTAACCTGATATAACTGGAATGAACCACGTGTCTCCAACAGAAAGCTCAGATTACAGGCAGGTTTCAGTTAGTGCTGGAGATAGAACTCAGGCCTCGTGCAAACTTAGTAAGTCTACTTTATCAGCTAAGCTGTATCCTTAGCTCAACATCGATCATTTGAGGAAATGGTACAAATGAATAATGGGAACACTTGGTACAGGTGACATGCCGTTAGATCTTGTTACTGTTTTATTTATTGCCCCCTTAGCTGCTGACTCCCCAGGTCAGCTGGCACTTGTTTGGGATGGTAGGTTGTGGGCCTTCAGTGACCCTGAGGCCCCCTGTGTAGAAAGGCTTCGCTTCATGCTGACATAATGCTAGCCTGTGAGTGTTGAGAAAAGTATCAGGTGGGCTGAAAGAGTGGTGATCAGAAGCAGGGTACATCTGTGTACAGGGCAGGCAAACGTGAAATTCTTGAACTTTGCTAAGACATGCCTTAGTCTGCTCTGTTGCTGTGATGGGACCATGACCATGGCAGCTCTTACGAAAGGAAGCATTTGGGCCTGGCTTACACTTACAGAGGTTTCTTAGTCCATTGTCATCAAGATGGCCAGTGAGAGAGCACGTGGCAACATTCAGGCAGACACGATGCCGGAAAAGAGTTCTGTATCTACAGCCTGAGGTAAGGGCAGCAGGAGAGAGCAATGGGCCTGGCATGGACTTTTGAAACTTGAAAGCCTAGTGACACGCTTGCTCCAACAACACCATACTACCTAATATTCTAATCCTTCTCAAGGCACATGCTGATGAAAAGTAATCAAATATATGATTCTGTGGGGCCGGTCTTACACCACCACAACACAGGTGCTGGAAAACAGGAACATCCTCATTACTAGGCTAGAGAGGGCCTAGCCATCAAGAGCTCACACTGCTCTTGCAGAGGACCCTAGTTTGGTGTCCAGCATTCAAGTCAATTGGCTTGAAAGTGATTGTAATCCAGACTCAGGAGTTGTAGCACCCTCTTCTGGCCGCCACAGGCACCTGCATTCATGTGCATAACCCCATAAAGTGAAAAAAATTCACAAAAGCTTGTGGCCTATGAATGTTAAAACAATGGTTGAAGAGTTTGAATGAAGGCATGCTGTGTGCATGGGAAATGTTTCCAGAAAATATGTTGGTGAAAATGCAGTGCCACAGGTAGGCTGCGTTTCTTAAGAGTTGTCCACGGAGACATCCAGTAGACGTGCTGTTTATTGCCTGGGCTGTAACACCCTGTTGCTGAAGGTGTTGCGTGCTGTGCCTTTGTGGATGTGGAGAACTCGGGCTGAGACTGAGCTGGGCACATCATGGTGACGGTAAGTGCTGTGCACAGCGCCGCTCAGCTTTGGACCCTCACACCACGCCACCGAGACGCCAGACGTCCTTCACGTGCAGCAGTTAGTGCTGAGACTCATGGCTGGCCGAGCTGTCAGAGAACGAGTGGCCGTGGGATGCTGAGCCCTCAGTAAAATACAGGGCTCACATCAAGATTCAGGGCACTGTGGCAGAGCGGACAAACAGTGGAGGAGCTGGACAAACAGCTGATGCTGCTGAGCGTGACGGTGCTGGTTTCCTCTCGAGACCCTAGCACCTGTGATGACTCCTGGGAGACTGAACAGAATTGAACCTTTTGGTCCATGACTAGGGTGGTCGTGACGCTCTGCTGCCTTCCGAGGCTTAGCAGATAGTTAATATTTACTAGGTGGTGGTGGGGATTGTTACCCAGAGTCAAGCCATTTGTATAGCTCCTCCACTTTGCTTGGGCAGTGATAACTAACTATGCGAAGTTGGTTCCTCGTCCTAAGGTGACTCAGTTTTCTAGACACTTGATTTCTTCTTCCTAGGTGTCAGATGGCCAGCTAGGAGAGATGTTTGTCAACCCAACACTGACTACTCACTAGTTACCACACTGGTCAACTATGAGCTTCAAAGGGAAATAACATCTTGCCCTGCCCCTCTTGCCCTGTAACTACCCCAGCTTGTAAACAGATGGCAGTCTCTCATTGTAGAGACACCCCTTGCAAGTGTGGGTGTTGTGTGTGTCCTCTGTCCATGCCTGCCCCCCCCCCCAGAGCAGGTTTGCACTGTTAAGTAGTTCCTTCCCTTGTGTCTTACCATCGATGGTGGTTTGACTGAAAATGGCCTGTAGGTTCATATATTTGAATGTTTAGTCACCAAGAAGTGAAACTGTTTGCAAGGATTGGAAGGATTAAGAGCTGTGGTCTTGGAGGTGTGTCACTGGGGCTGGGCTTTGAAGTTTCAAAAGCCCCTGTCAGGCCCAGTCTTGCTCTGCCTGCTGCCTGCAGATTAGGATGTAGCTGTCAGGTACTGCTCTGTTGCCATTGGTGCCGCCATGCTCCCCACCATGCTCCCCACCCACCATGATAATGGACTAAGCCTCTGAAACTGTAAGCCAGCCCCAGAGTTTCTTCTTTTTTTTTTTTTTAGTAAGAGTTGCCGTGGTCATGGTGTCACTTCACAACAACAGACCACTGGCTAAGATGCCATCTTTCATTTGGTGGCCAGGAAGCGGAGTTGGTGTGTTGACTCTGCAATGGCAGTCCTCTACTGCTTTCTCTACCTCACCCCCACACTGCTGTGGCCCTGGTCCCCTTGAGTGAGACCATCAGAGACCGTTTGTCCATTGCCTTCCTGGATGCAGCACTGCAGAGTTCGTCCTGGGTGAGTGTGGAGACTTTTCTCCTTCTCAGGAAATTCCCCAACGACCATTCTTTTTTTGTTTTTCTCTGTGTAGCCTTGGCTACACACTTTTGGACACACTTTTTAGACCAGGCTGGCCTCAAACTCACAGAGATCCACCTGCGTCTGCCTCCCTGAGTGCTGAGATCACAGGTGTTTGCCACCATGCGTGGCTCCTTTCTGACCAAACATCCAGAAGACCTGTCAAACCCCGATGTCAGCTGGGGAGCTGTCATAGGGTCTTAGGGTTTCATTGCTGTGAAGAGACACCATGAACAAGGCAATTCTTGTGAAGGAAAACATTTAACTGGGGCTGGCTTAATAAGTTTCGCAGTTTAGTTCGTTATCTTCATGGTGAGAATCGAGGCAGTGTTCAGGCTAGTGGAGAAGGAGCTGAGAGCTCTACAAACTACCACAGAAGATCACGTATTTTCAACTGTTAGTCTCTGTCTAGAGGAGCAGTGGAGACACCTGCATTTGAAGGGCCCTCTTACTGAACAGGGCTATTGGTTGGGACCCTTTTCATTTGGCCTGGTTTTTGTTGAGAAGAATCTCCTCTGTTCTCGCTCCTGCCTTCACCATGGGCCAGCAACCCTCTATCCACCTTGAGCCTCTTGTGGCATGTCCACTCAAAATCGTTCTTTGATGTAAGGCAGGCCTGGCCTCAGCACTCCTTGGCAACAGCTAGCACTGCCTGAGGGCAGCACCTTTGTCCTCCTTGCTCTAAAGGCCCTTATGTTTGGTTCCCTTATGTGAACAGAAGGAATACAGCTTGAGGTTGTCTGTGTTCACGCCTTTTTCTGTCTCTGCTTCCACCCCTCTCTCGTTCTGCTCTCTTCCATTT